TAAGAAGTAACACAATGAAACCTGCAGTTCGAAACCGCTGACGCTGCCCTCGGTACATTCGTAATTCCAGTAATTGTAGATAGATAAATAAGGGACACTGCCCCTAGCAATAAAATAAACATGGATAACAACGAAGACCACGTGACCAAATATTAAAAGAAGAATTCCACCAAAACAACACCAAATATTCAAAGAACTAGAGCACAGATGATACAATTCCTTGCCAAAATCAGTTGATCTTCATAAATTTGTTAGTGAATTCGAGGAAATGTTGAGATACTTCTGCTACGCTTTAAGTTACATATCAACGCACTATGATTAACCAAAATATTCGAAAGTTAGAATAATTCAAAGTCCATGAGGAAACATATTGAGATATATAGTTATTCTCAAAGCGATTTCACATAGGTTGTTTTGTCCCTATCTGCATAGTTCAAATAAGTTCCTAAAGTTGCTTTGCGTATTGAAAGCAGAATTAGTAAAGCACTTAAAGAATCACATAAATCTCACAAAAAATTAAATAGCGTACTTCAGCTGGATCTGAGAAATGTCTGATATTTCGAGAGAAAATATATGAACTATTTGAAAATAATAACGCTCTAATGCGCGATGAATGTCTGAACGGTTAATGAAAGCTTACCTTGTTAGCCGCAACATCTACTGAAAATGTTGATTTCTCACGCCAAATTAGATGCTTTAACATTATAAATTTTGTATAAGACATTTGATTGACAAGAGCATTACACGTAAACGCGGTAATTGTTGATAACGAGCTCTAAATGAGTGTCATGCACTTATCGATGCATCAGCTATTAGAGAATCACGCCGGCAGAGTAGGGCAGGATAGGGCAGGATAGGGTACCCGAATGATTTTCGTTAAAAACAAGGAACAAAAATGAACTGAATAAAAAATGGGAACTGAAAAGAAAATCCGGATGAGAATCTTTTGAAAGGACATTAAAAATATATCCTCTGCACGCATTGAGCGAAAAATAGATCCTTGTCGACACCTTTAACAATAGGAATATGTTTATCGTCACTTGAACAGATTCCGTTTCATTGGCTTGTTTAGGATGACTACGTTGAAAATCGCCACTTATCCACAAAGAACGAAGAAAAGCATAAAATAAGCTATATCATCTTTCAACTCCAAAAGCTCAATTTCTTCATTCATGTCAACATATTAATGAAAGAATGAGATATTAACTCATTTACACAAAGTATTTCATTTACGCCCATCATCTCACAACAGAGGACCCTTTTATGGGTAAGTTTCACAATATCCGCCGAGGACCCCCGCCCTTTGATATTAGGGAGACCCCCCCCCTGGGACTCTGGGATTTCCAAACAAAAATTACACATTCCATGACGTGATTGTGTGACGTCATCACGTGACGTCATTGATATGGAAAAATGCTATAATTTTACTCAAGAAAAGTGTATGGAACGATTTGAAATCGATGAAATTAATGTTTAGATTTAGGTCCGTAAAGCCAAGCATGCATTTTTAGAATTATTGCCAAATAAGGTTTTTACGATTTTTTATATGCCACAAATAAGCGCAAAATACCAATAATTATTTTTTAATTTTTGACCAAACCCATGCTTGGTTCTTAGTGAAGATGAGGCTATGAAGAACATAACTAATGAAAAGACACATTCATTTGATGTTTATCACCAAGAATATATTGTTTGAAATGATACCATACATTTTATGTAAACAAAAACCTTTCCACTGGAAGTAAAAATTTTCCCGCTATGAAAACGCGCGTGCACCCGCTTCTCTGATTGGTTGGCATTGGCTACCATAGCAACCAGGTTGTCGAGAAACGGGTAGATCACTGGCGATAAGGGTCAGTTTTAAGGTTACAGTGAAACACTGCCATCAAAGGTTGGGGGGAGCATTTCACTAGTTTGTTCTGGTGTGATAAAGGAAAAAAAAGATATATTTGTTGGAAAAAGATTGTTTATGCTCGAAAAAAAACTTCTGAAAGGTTCTGTTTTTCAAGTATTCTAATATTGTGAATTTTAAAGCAAAATGAGTGACAAAAGGACTTAGGTGTTGTATTAAATATTTGACAATTAGTATGGGTTTTTATTCTACAAGAATTTTCCTTGAAATTTGTCGGACTTGGATCTTAAAGGAGTTTCTAAACTTCATATTGTAGGACGTAAAAATAATTTTAACTTTTACCCCTCCCTTGACACACAGAAAATACAATGTTTGAGGGAAACTAGTTTCGTCTATTAGACCTTATCAATTCCTCTACAACTAGTGTAATTTTTGTGCCAGCGACACCTGACTCTCGATTGAAGAAGATGCTAGAGAACGATATCAGGAATTCCAACGTGAAAATCAAGATTGTGGAGAAGGTAGAGACCAGCGTAAAACGTGCTCTGCAGAGGTCCAACCCCTTTACCAGAAGAATATCCGGTAGAGAGGATTGTGTTGTGTGCAAGACGGATCAGTCTGGTCGGTGCCAAACACAAGGAGTGACTTATGAGATTGCATGTGCAGGCTGTGAATGCAAATACGTAGGTGAAACATCAAGGAGCGTATACACACGAGGGAAGGAACATGTCAGAGACTTGGAGACATCAAATGAGAGGTCAGTGTTGAAGATGCATTTTGAAGAGAAACATTCAGGGGTAGCACAAGCCTTTAAGATAAGGGTCACTGACGTGTTTAATGGAGATGCAACCTTGACGCAGATAACAGAGGCGGTCCAGATAAGGAGGTGTGCAGGTAGAACCATGAACAATAAGAATGAGTGGAACAATGTAAGAATTCCACGTGCCAACATAGAACTTTCTTAACTAAGGTAATCTTTGTTCTTCACCGCGGTTTTGTAACACCTTTAGCTCGCGCTACGTAATTTACGCGCGCTGTTTGTAAAATTTCAAATGCAAGCGCACTTATCGTATACAACAGTTGTAGAGGAATTGATAACGTCGAATACACAAAACTAGTTTTCCTCAAACATCGTGTTTTCTGTGTGTCAAAGGAGGGGTAAAAGTTAAAATTATTTTGACGTCCTACAATATACAAGAATTTTTGTCTTTCCTCTTGTCAGCAAGTGGTGTATTCATGAAATTTTGGAAAATGACAGTATTATAGGAGCGGCATAGCGACAGACGTTTTTCTATTCGTTAACGTATTGAGTATCAAATGAAGTAATGGAACTGACTCATTTTTTAGCGCACTTTCCTTCAGTCCTTGTGTTTGAAGGTGAGTTATTTCATTGTATGAACTGAATTCAAAAAGAAGTGCTTAAATTTGGGGTTTGTTGAGTTTTTTTTGTGTTGAGAACTTGTTATGTCTCAAAAATTCTATTATGTGCGGTCATGTATAGTTTTTAATTTTTCAGTCCCAAATTATGCAAATTAGATCAGTTTTGTTCTTGGCCCTTATGAGCATCAAAATGACAAACAATAAGGAGGTTTAGCACACAACTTAGTTTAGGAACGGTAGTTACACCTTTTTTAAAAACAAAAATGTGTGAAAAAAGGTGTTTTTATGCGATAAAAGTAGGATAGTTTTGACTCAACAGGCGAGCGCGCGCTGGCGACTTGAAAAACCGACTTGAAAACAATGCACTCTCGCGTCATTTTCACCCAATCACGAATCAAGAAATAACACATTCCCCCAGAGTCTCTAACGCATTCACATAGTTCAAAGAGTTTTCATCATATGCTAAACATAAAGCATCTCTAACAGCTGTAATTACTCTACCAGTTAACATTATAGATTACGGTGGGAAATGAACAATCAAACCAGTTGATAGCAACAATACTTTAATGGTATAAAGAGAGCTTCAAACTKAAGAAAATTACAAATGAACTGTTACCGATAAAATTTACAACTGTTACAATTGTGTACAAAATGAAATATATTACAATAAATTACTAAAAACTATGTTTAAATAGCATAAATATACCTTGATTTCTCGCTTTCCCACCTAATAACGATGTATTTATCCAGTAGTTGAAGATAAGTTGTTGGAAAACTTTTGACTCACACAAGGACGGAAAGATATTTGAAAAAACTGAAGATTACGTAATTTTTTCACGCGCGCATATGCTTACGTGACATTTACGGYTGACTGAAGACGTTACTTAGCAACAACATGAAAACGAGACTTTTGTTAAACAAAATGGCGGACGAAGGGCCGTGTTTACAGTATGAATGGGACACTAAAATGACTAAATATATGCTAAAACCAGGACAAAATGATGGAATAACTTAATGGACATATAGATAAGGTAAATTTCTTTTGATTTATGAAAATTAAGTGAAACCTCAAGGAAATTAGGATCGAAAATTCCATCAAGTCTGAAATCTTTTCGAGTGTTTGAAAACTCGATAATCAGATGAACATTTTCTCCTCCTCTTCTGTGATTTCTTGTAGGATACCCAAGAACTCCAGTTAATCTTCAATGCGGCATATCTTAACTAATGGCCGGGTGAATGTGCCATTTTTCATCTTAAGAACTACTGATCAAACTCTTCCATCTCTGCTTCTGATGACGCGTTCGATTCGTGCTAACGGCCATTTGTGTCTGTGGATACCATCTTCTGCACTAAGAACCAGTTTGCCGACTTGAGGCTTCTTTTGTTCAAAGTACCATTTGGATCTCTGCAATAGTGTTGGTAGGTATTCTTTTATCCATCTAGCCCAGAATACTTTAGATGCAGCTAGACTTTGTTTGTAAACATTTCTTGCGTTTATCTCCTTTTCATCTGAGTGCAGAGGTATGCTAGTGTTTGGCTTGAGAAGTAGTAATTTATTTGGTGTCAGTGCTCTGAGATCGTCAGGGTCTTCTTCTGTGTATGCTGTTAGAAATCTGCTGTTGAGTGAACTTTCAATCTCTACCAATGCTGTATGAAGGGCATCTGATTTGAAGACTTGGACTTCTAAGCTTCTGAGAGCTCTGTTAACGCTTCTCACCATTCTTTCAACGGTGCCGGTCTTGTGTGGAGACAGTGGTGAACCGAAGTGTCAATTAATTCCATTCTTGTACATAGTATTGATAACTTTTTCTTTGTGGAGATTCTTTTGTAGTTCTTTAGCAGCTCCAATGAAGTTTGTTCCTCTGTCTGAGTAGATATCTGTGCATGTTCCTCTTCTACTTGTAAATCTGATTAAGCAATTGATGAATGCATCCGTTGAAAGGTCATTTGCAAGTTCTAGATGTACAGCTCTTGTTTCTAAACATGTAAAGATGCATCCCCATTGTGGTATTGATCTTCTGGTTATACTGCGGTCCTTGACTGTTATTGGACCAAAGTAGTCACACATTACTTGAGTGAAAGGTGATATGTTTGGTATTACTCTTGCACGTCGAAGATCTGCCATTATGGGTGGTGTAGATTTTGGTGTCTCCCTTTTACAGAACCAACAATTCTGTGTATGCTTCTTCACTCCTTGTTTCAGTTTAATGATCGAATATTCTTGTCTAGTTTCGTTCATGATGTGCTGGACTGAACCATGCTTGGTTTCTTCATGTGCCTTCGCAATTATTAACTGCAATATGTGCGAGTTTCCATTGATGACAATTTGGTACTTTGCTGAATACTGTATTGGTGCATGTCTGAGGCGACCTCTTGCTCTCAGACTTCCATTTTCATCCAAGAATGGGACAAGGCGTTTGAGACGTGACTTTGTTGAAACTTCTCTCCTTTCTTTCAGATCATTAATTTCTTGTGTAAACACTTGTTTCTGGTGTATCTTTATCAGCTGGACTTCTGCATTGATTAGCTCATCATTTGTGATTTGACCTTTTTTCTTTTATTTCCACCTTAAACATCTTGAAAGGACGCATAGAGCCTTTAACAGTGAAGAGTATCTTTCTGTTGGAAAAGCTGGTTTACTCTGTCTCCATGTGAAGCATTTCTTTCTTACTTCTAAGTTGACATCCGGAATCTTCTCCTCCTCGTGAGAAACTGTGGGCCACTTTGATTCGGGTTCTTGTAGAAACTTTGGGCCAAGTTGCCATCTTGATTTTGAACCTAACTTCTCTGAAGTTAATCCTCTGGTTCCATCATCAGCTGGGTTCTCTGCAGTAGGGCAGTAGCGAACTTCTACTTCATAGCCTTTGTTTTCTAGGCACTTTAATTCAGATTGTACATCTGCTATCCTGTGAGCGATATAGTCTCTGTAACAACTGCTTGGCTGTTTCTCCCAGTACAGGACAATCATAGAATCTGTAAAGATTGTTACGTTTTTGATCGTTAGATTTTGTTCCTTTAATGTTGATTTCACTAACCTTATTGACATCAGAAATGCATCCAGTTCTAGTCTTGGAATAGAGATTGTTTTCTGAAGTGACAGTTTGGTGCTTGCAACATTAATTCTTGTGTCGACTTTGTTGTCTTCATACTTTGTTATGATGGAGTTTACAGCACATTTGGCTTGCTTTGATGCATCTGAAAATGATACTAGACTTGGCTCTCCATTGTCTTGTCTTGATCTGAATGGCCGTGGTATTTCTGTTCCTTGAATCTGCAACAGCTCTTCCTCCCATGAACGCCATTTGGTTAGAAGAGGATCTGTTACAAGGCTGTCCCAGTGTAACTTCTCTGTAAAGGTTTCTCTCTGTAGATTACATCCTCTGATGATGAATAGGCTGAGGTGTCCTAGTGGATCCCACATAGATGCTATCCTGCTTAGAAACTCTCTTAGGGTCGAAGCTGGATCTTTCTGTGAGATAATAGCGATGAAGCAATCTTTCTCTGGATCATAAAATATTCCAAGAGTTCTTGTTTTAGTAGTTAGCTCGTGATTAAAAACCAGCAAACCAACACATTGAAGGTTGGTGGTCTTTCTTTCGCAGAGGAAGAGCTGGCTGGTGGATTGACTTCTTTAAAGACATGGTAACATCTGGTATACCAGACCTTGGAAATTCCTTACACATGGAATGTCTGTAGTTTTGTTTCCATCTTATTCTTACTAATAACCTTGAAAAAGTCAAAATAAATGGGAATACCCATAGAATTCACCATTCCAGAAATTAAGGAACAGTGTCTGGAATACCAGATGTAATGTATTACTTACCAGAACGCACCAAAGGAATAGAGTGTAAATGCACTGTAACAGCGCAGCAAATACAGGAAATGGAGCAGAGGCTACAGTTTGAAGAAGATGACGAAGTCATGGATTATGAAGACTACTTTAACTATGTCATGCTTAATGAAAATTTTCAGTTTCTGTGTACAGCTGTTGATGGATTTGAATTGTTTCAAATTAAAGCTGATTCCACTTGCATCAAATTGATTGGCAACTATGTGACACTTGTACATTCCATTTGCATACATTCCATTGTTATAAAAAAGCTAGAAATTGTGTCATAAATCTCAGAACTTTGAATTGTGTCCTGCATTGCATTGTGGTAAAAATATTATGTATAACAATGCACAATCATTATTACCAAAGACCATGAGTGCAAATGGGATTAAATAAAAACTTGGGATTAAATAAAAAGTACAAAAATTCCTTTATTTTACACAGTGATTCCCAGGGTACCTTATAGGATCAATAAAAAGCAACAAAATACATGTAAGTATAATTCATTTTTATTACTAAATATTCTAAAAACAATTAAAGGAAATGTACAATGTAGTTCAATTGGATTAAAATAATTTTAGTCTACAAAATTCAATGTAAATTTAGAATATCATGCTGTATGTATCTCTACTATCAACATGAAAGATGTACACATGAATTTACATCTTGAATGGTTGTAATAAATGTCAACATGAAATTTACATCTCTCAAACAACATTTTCCGAAATAATACAACATTTTTAGCACCACTTCAACACGAAACATGTCAAAGTTTAGCGTCAAAGCGTGGACCAAAACCAATCCTATAAAACATGATCAGTTCATACGGAACAATAACTTTATAAAATGAAAACCTTACAAATTGACCTCAATTTCTACCTTAAATGTTAACAACAATGATTACTATTAACTTCATAACCATTTGCTTTCTCATAACAAGTGAAACTAGACGATCAGTGATCGTTTACATGGGCTTCCTGTGGTATATTACAATCAGTAAATGATATTGAACCCTAATGAAATTAATATTCCTAAGACAACAGCAAAAAAAGATTTCCTTTAAT